GGACCTCTTTGTAGCCAAACATCAAAGCAGGAATATGTATTTACCACTGATTCCTCTGATCTCATGGCAGGCCACAGCTGATTGGAATCAAAAGCAAAGCTACATAAAGGGAAGAGTTTACTATGGTACACACACACACACACACACACACAATGCAAACTTTGCATGCACCAATCCGGCAGCAATTGACAGCGCTCTGATCCAGAGACATACAGGCATCGTCAGATTGACAGTACTCTAGCCCAATAATGTTGGGGGATCCAGTGGGGGCAGTCATATTTCAGGGTGACCGTGCCACTCTTTATCACAACCCTGCTAAAAGTGCCAGTACGTGCGCTCATTGGCGCCCCTTCAGCTGGTGGCGCCCTAGACAACCGCCTAGCTCGCCTATGCCTAGAAACGGCCCTGGCTGCATATCATTGGTTTGCTGGATTATGAAGAAATGGCTGCATATCATTGGTTCACCGCGGAATCAGCGAACAGTGTTTAAGCGTTGATTAACGGCCTGTTGTAACCATAGCGATGAAAGCGTAATGACGCTCATTCCCTACAATTCCAAAAGCTGTTTTTAAAGGATTTTTACTTGCCAGTGTGCTGATTCTAATAACTGCCCCCTACAGGACTAAAGCAGTGCAACAGTCTTGCTGAAAGATTAGACTAGTTACTGTAGATAAGTAAGTAACTAGATTTTAATTTGAAATGAACACTTTTATTCAGGAAGGACACGTTGAAATTACAGTAAAGTCATTTATAATGTTACAAAAGATTTCTGTTTCAAATACATGCTGTTCTTTTCAAGTTTTTGTTCATCATCCTGAAAAAAGTATCATGGTTACTGCAAAAATGTTAATCAGCACAACTGTTTCCAACATTGATAACAATAAGAAGAAGAATCATGTCACTGAATACTGGAGAAATGGCTGCTGAAAATTTAGCTTTGCCATGAAAGGAATAAATTACATTTTAAATATATTAAAACAGAAAACATGTATTTTAAATTATGATAATATTTCACAATATTTCTCATTTTACTGTATATTTGCTTAAATAAATGTAGCCTTAGTGAGGATAAGAGACATCTTTCAAAAACATTATTAAAAAATTATTTACTCTCATGTCTTAATTTAACTTATTTTTCTTCTTTCCTTCCATGCCTTCGCCCCATCAGCCAGCAGGCAGCCCTCTGAATTAGAGGGGACCCATGCAACACACAACACAATGAATGTAAATCACAGGTACATGCTAAATCTGCTTGACTGGTTAGTTACATAACCTTCCAGAAGTAATCACATTGTCATCTCTGTGTGTTGACAACTTTTTGGAAAAACTGCAACACAACACAGAATGATTTTGAAAGTTGTAGAAGCGTGTAGAGTCTTTGGCTCCGTGGATCACATGTCGCCTCATTTGTTGTGTATTTGCGACCGCAGAGTGAAATGAAGACTCATGGGAAATCATTTGGTGGCCACAGAGAGGAAAACTCATTTTAGTTACTTAAGAGTTCAAGTTAAAGCATTCTGGCTTAAAGACCGCAGACCTTTCCTCCTGAAGAAGAATTCCTGTTATTGTGGTATAGCAAAACATGTCAGCTCTGCTTTAAACAGTTTTTGAACAGTATATCTATTGTTATTTGTTTGTTTGTTACAACCTAACAAACTGGTTTTGTTAAATTTGGTATGAAAACTATTTTCTAAATGCATGTTATTCATCTCATTGTGAATGATTTATCCATGCATATGTTTAATTTTTACATTTTCTTTTGCCCTCATCATTTTTTTGTATCAAAATATCATAATCTTCTGGTGAAATTAGAGTTCTCCATTCATTTATTCCACTTAAACTCTTTCCCAGATCAAGAAAGTTTAATAGAGTCTAATCATTTAAATGTTGTTCAAATGCCACTTTGACTTGTTAAGATGATCGGTATATGGTCTCTGGTCTCAAAAAACACACACGGAGTAGATTAACAACATTACATAAGTGCAAAACCTTCCATTCATCCATAAGTGTCTAGAAGAGAAATGAAAGGGGAACAAGTTCAAGGCTCTGTTGTAATAAAAAACATCTTTCCTTCTCCATTGTTCTGGCTAAAATCATATGAGACTCTCAGTATAAATGGTGGAACTAACTTAATTATGAAAATCCTCCTGCTGCATTGAAAATGGGCTGCAGTAACAGGGGAATAAAAGCTGTTATCCAGACGTTTGTGTGTGTGTGTGTGTGTGTGTGTGTGAAAAATCGGTGCATAAGATACCATACCCGCTGGGCTTCTCTGCAACTGTCTGCTGTAATATAAATCCCTATTGCACTTTGTATTTATCCATTTTTAATGAAGTGTCTCAGCTGTGTGTGTGTGTGTGTCTGAATGAGATGAGAAAGGGGAAAAAGGGAGAGGGATGGAAGGAAAGATGAGGACAGGCCTGTTTACAGGATAGAGAGGCCCCTTCTGAGAGCATCAGAGGTTGTGTGATGACATCACTCTCACGGGTGACATAAGTCAGGTGCTTTTGTGATTATAAAATTAGAGACCTCTCTGTTATCAGTGTTCTAAAAAACCCACACTCTCTCAAAAAAATAAAAAAGATTCCTCTGTTCCTTATTTACCCCTAAAGGGTGCATATTAGTATCTAAATGGTACATTTTAGTACATTTTGAAAGTGTTCCCCCCAGTGACTTTTCTGGAAGTACATGAAATGGCTTTTCTGTCATGTGTGGATGTACTTCCTTCCCTTTTTCTGTATTGAATCATAAAGTTGAGAAATATTTTACATTTCTTTAAAAAATCATGAATTGCTAGTTTATATTGTCAATTGGTTGCATGTTTTATTAGTGGGAGGGACACTGACATTCAAGAGAGCATCTGATTGGACAAAAATCTGTGTAGTGCCAGAATAGTCATCAATATTTTTGGTCTGTTTTAGTGAAAGAGAAAAACTGTAAATTGTAAACTTATGGAAGGCTACACTACACGACTTTTACCCCAGATTATAGTCTGGAGAAGCTGATGCTAGTTGCCGAAAATCAGAGCCATTCTGCAGATTCAGGGCAGTCTATGGGCAAAGACTGATTTTTCAGCTTCAGACTATGATTTCAGTTAGTGAGAGGATATCAAACGTTTGATATTTTGAGCCGATTTTAGACAACATAATGTTTTCATTTGTCATGCGCCTCCTAGTGATGAGGCGCATGTTTCTGTGTGAGTTTGTTGTGTTCGGAATGACTTGAAAGTCTGGTAGTCTGTGGTCCTCAGTCATTTAGCGGATGATGCCCAGCTTTCTGCAGAGAAAAGCAGAGGAAGTCTAGTTAACCCCTGTGCCCTAGAAACGGGCTCGAACTGAGCTTTAAAACCAAGCACACCCACCCAACAAATTCTGAAGCAAAACATTCGGCCACATATATGCAGCCGCTGTAGGCCTCAAAAGCGAGCGTGATCATGTGATCTCGGCATATGTTTCCATTCTGTTCAAAAGTCCTGGAAGTTTCCGTTTCACGGGAGACAGCAGTGCAGTATTAGGGCAGAGTGCATGTGGCTGGCTTGCAGCCAAGTCTAAGAGAGCCCAGGACGCTCAAGCAAGGCCGGATACCATGCAGACAGACCTGGTTAGCACAGAGGTTGCACCCCTGATTACCATGTATAACCGCTTGCACTTCCACCAGGTTAGGAGGTCCTGTCAAAACTGGTTTTGTATGAAATACACCTCACTTTTTCAGAGTTGTTCCTTGTGAATGGGGTCACTTCCCTTTTACTGTACTATGGGTTGAGGGTCCTGTATTCACACTGCTGTGATAGATACCGTCCCATCTGTTAGACTACTTTGTATTCTGAAATACTGAATGTTAGAGTTACAATGGATCCAAAAGGCATTTGGAGACTTTTTATGTAGCCGCAATTAAAAATGCATGAATGTCTTTGCATTAGATAACAAATGCTCTTGGTGCTTTTCTCAGAACAAATGTAACTTCAGCCATTTCTTTGCAATTACGGTTAACCAACTGATGTCAATGTGATTTTGTGTGTGTGTGTGTGTGTGCCCAGCTTTCTGGCAACCATTTATAAAGTCGGCAAGTGGTTTACAATCTGTTCATATTTTAAAAGTCTTACATTATATTCCAGCCTTTAGGCATACATTAGCATTAGATGATTCAAAACGGCAGTTCTCATTTAATGGGTTTTTAAAATAATCAGAGAAGCTTCTCCTTTATTCTCCTTTTCTTTGCTTTCCATTTTTGTTACATTTAGGGAGGAAAGGCCTGTGTAGGTGAAGAGAGGCTTTGAGTGGTGATGGGAATGCGGTGGGATTCACAAAGACCCTGATTGTGACAATGACACAGGCTCACATGAGCCTGCTAAACACAATCCGCAGGGATGACAACATGAAAGCACCAGTTGAACCATTTCATAAGCTGTTTATTTATCTAGTGAATTCATCTCTTTAATTTCCGCACAGCAGCATACAGGGCAATTGTGACAAAATATAAATAAGAGAATTCAACAGTGTGTCTTTTTATACTCTTTTAATTTAATTACAAACCTCAGTTAAAAATGTCAAATTGACTGATGTCTTCAACATTTGATTCTCAGTCTCTCTCTCACGAACCAAGAATGTCACATTGAACAACAATTTTAAATGCATGAAATTATCATCATTATTATTAATATTATGTACAGCTGTCACCTATAAGCAAACAATGCTTAGAGCTTATTGGGATTTCACTTTCATCTGTAGAATGCACTGAGAAAAAAAAAATACAATTATGCTATACAAAGATCAAAAATACTATTATAAACCCTTGTTATAAATGGTACACTATATTAATAAACTGCTGTTGACATTTTACATGTAAGTACAAAATACTGGTGAGGTAGTTCCCTCTGAAGTCACTTTTAAATGGTAAAATACTGAATAGACATCACTTAATTCTTTTTCTTCTTTTTTTCTAGGTAATTATTTACAATACAGCAAATCTATGCTCCTTACTTCATTAAAATTGAATTCCTTTGTGTGTTCCCCTTACTAGGGGTGTAAACATTGAAAGGGCACCTCATTCAGAAGAATAGCCTGCGGTCACACTTTACATTACAGCGTGCATGTTACACACTAATGAGCAACACTGCTTTCTGGAGCTGCTGGAAATTCACTTAATATTAGTACTGTAAACTTCTGTAACATGGACCCTGCAATGTTAAATGCCCAGCTCTGTCAGTGGGGTTGGAAATCATTTGGCCTATTATGAAGTTATGCTGACAACATGAACGCGCAACAGAGCCTCTATTGTGTTGCTCTGCGCGTCCGTGCTCGCAAATGTCAGGAAATTGCGGAGTGGACTTTCAGAAGAGAGCGGAATGGGACTTAAGTTCATAAATGAAGACATGTGGAACATTCTTTAAAATCGCTTAATGGCAAAATAAACTTTGGTTTAAAGACAAAAAGGAGGCGCAAGCTTAGCTTACAGTAAAGAAAATACTTGAGTTGAACAGAGGAGCAACTCCTCTGGTGCCAACATTCACGTTTCCCATTTGAAAGAAAAATAACATCTTATTTCACACAAAATGTGACTATGCATCGTCAATAAACATCTAAAACCTATGCGTGAAAAGGAAAAAAAAATTGCTTTTTATGAATAAAGTATGCAATAAACTATGGAAATAAAGTATCTATAAAAATATAAGAGATTTTTTTTTTTCGTTTAACAAAACATTGATATCATCTTATTTGTTTGCCTAGTAGTTAAGACTCGGAAAGCAAGTCAATCAGAACAGTCATCTGAAAGAAAATGTTCAGTGCAATACATGTAAGTATAGGAGTCTTTTAGAAGATTTTCACTCGCTTACCACCCACAGCTCTGCCTCCCTTCAGCACTCTCTGGGCAGGCTGGTCTTTGGAGAGAGGGCAGTATTTTATTGTATGCGCGTTGTCCCCGTTGGCACTGCATAGGGGGCATGTGTACGCCCGCAGAATCGGGCACACCACCCTCCCATCCGGGGTTTTCAGGACGTGCGAGCCGTACCCCTCCTCCGGCGCGCCGTTATTCCGACAGAAGACGCAGATCTTGGGTTCCTGCTTATTGCGCGCGGCTGGTTTCCTCATCTTTCTCTCCACGCCGAACAGATCGAATCCTGCGAAGCTCCCTCCGATGCCCATCTCCCGCTCCTGGGAGGAGGACAGCAGCCCTCTCGTGCCTTGGTTCTGGTTCTGGAAGGGGCTCAGAATGGAGAAGCGCTCTTTCAGGTCCAGGATGGAGACGGAGGCGGGTGGGGGGCAGCAGCAGGATCCCAGGTGTCCTCCGCTGTCGCCGTCGCCCCCGGCCGCGATTACGCACGGGCACGGAGGGCTGTCGTCCAAGCCCAGAGTGGCTTTCAGGGACTCCGTGATGGAGTTTGGACTCTGGGGGACGCTGTGCTTGTTGTTCTTGGTGACCAGCGTGGAGAGACCGAGATAGTCATTCCAAAAATTGAAGGTGTAATCGTAGGAGGTGCGCGCGCTCAAGTAGTCGTGGTTCAAAAAATCCATGTCTTCTTCGCTCAACCAAGATGCTTCTCTCGGAGGAAAACAAACAAATGCGAACAGCTTATATTCCGTCAGGTTGCTTTCTGTCTGCTCTCCGGGGTCGTAACTGTGCTCAAGTCCAGTGCGTTTCTTGGATATGTGCGTCTGAAGAACAGTCATCTGGTTATAAGGCTCCAGGAGAGGCAGGAGGATGGGCGGGGCTCTTTTTCAAACCAAGTTTCTGAGCAGCAGATCCACAGCGTGTTTTCTTCCTGCACGACCAGCGACTGTTCACTGCAGTGGAATGACACCAGGCACTGCTCTGTGATGGCAAACTAGACCAAAAAGTGCTCGTTAGTGAGAGATTATTACGCTTTATTTATATCACATATTTTCCCTTTCTTTCCCAATTTTAAGGGTCAGTGACAGAATCCTGCCCAAAATGATTTTTATAACTCAAAACACGTTTGTTTTTGAATTGTAAGAAATTACAAGTTCTTGATATTTAGAAAAGTAATCTTTGTATACATGCTGATTTCATGCACTTTCAACAATGACTCCAAAAACGTTAAATAAATATTAAAATATTGCATAAATAACTTGATAATATTGACACACATTGGTGGGGGGGCCTAAAGGAGTCTTCTTTGTTTTATGGTTTTCTTGTCACATGACAACAAAATGGCTTCCTGCATACTTGTTATGCCACCCTGACTTTGACCAAATATCTTTGAAAATGTAATTCTATTAAAATATATATAGAGAGAGAGAGAGAGAGAGTTGGGGAAAATGGTTTTGCATATTATTTTATTAAGAAAATATTTCAAAAATTAAGCATTTTTTATTATTATTTTCCATTTTTTAACATGCCAATAAAGCTACTTTATTCTTAAACGTAAAAGTGTTTCAAAGCATGGCTGCATAATGTGAGCAGATTCAGCTAGTTTAACTATATCAAATGCTCCACTAGCAAAATATGAAGGGAAGATGACCATTGCAGTCTATTCACAGAGGATACATTATTACAACGGATTTCCTCTCTCGCCTCAGTGTCATCTCACAGTCACAGTAGCTTCTTTCTTTGGTGTTAGATATTTGGGTTTGTGTGCACTGCCTAGGCTTTACAGTGCAGCTGCAGTTTGTATGTGTTCAGGATTATGTGACGTGATCAGATTACACATGTGTCATTAAGAAACAGAGGGTCGTGGGCGCAAATGGGCTCTTTGTTCTTTGAAATCATGCCATGCACGCGCACCTGCAGGCCAGAGACATGGAGTTGATTTCACTGTTGATTAGCATTTGCCATTTCTTTTTTTTTTTTTCAATTTGAATGATATTGACATGTTACTGAATGATATTATTATGTTAGGTAAATATACAAGTGTTCATTGTTTGTTCATCAGGTCCATTGAATAGTAATATTAACATATGCCACTTTTTATTTTTAACAATGCATTAGTAAACTGTGTAATTACAATTAAGAATAATAAATGACTTAAAGGTTTTTATTTTTGGTTCATGTTAACTAATGTAGTTGCTAAGGTCAACAAATTAACTTACAGTAAAGTATTACCGTAATTGATTATTTGACTTTAAATTATTTTAATATGTTTTGAGACATTAGTCCACCCAAAAATTACCCAACCTCATTACGTTTCAAACCTATATGATTTTTTTTTTCGTGTGTGGATGACAAAATAAGATATTTTGAAGAATATTGGTAGCTAAACATTTTGGTTCCTATTGACTCCATTATGAGGACAAAAAATAAATTAATAATAATAATAATAATAATAAATAATAAATAAGTAAATACATACAAATGGGAACCCTATACTGTTTGATTATGAACATTATTCAAAATATCTTCTTTTAGCTCAGCATAGGATTAAAAAGCATACAGGTGAGTAACTGATGACAGAATTTTAATTTCATAATTTAAGGTTATCAACTGAATGTCTTTTTATTATCAGTTTTCATAAGATTAGTAGTCGTTATAAATTATTAACCTGATACTCTAATGTTAAGTTTGGTTCCTTGAGATGTTTAAAGAGCTCATGAGGGTTAATATAAGTAGAAAATATGGTGCATTCTCCTTTGATGTTACTCTATTGTGAATATTATGATGTAACACAATATAAGTAAGCTGTTTTGGAGACAATAACTGCACCGGTGGTTTAGATATGGGGACCTGCAGTACATCCAATGCAATTAGACTGAGATTCAGGATTGTGCGTCTTTTAGAACTAAAAGGCTGCAGCTCAGATGCCAGTAAATTGGCTTGGAGCCTGCAGGTCTTTTATGCTCCTCCTGCTGTGGCCTTGACTCTGTGTGAAAAGCTGCAATGGTGGAGGGTCATTATTCGACAGGCTCTTGGCTCAATGAGCTGTCCTAGATCCGACTCGCTCCAAAACCCACACTGGCCAGAAAGACATGTAATGAGCGTCTCGCCAAATTAACTCATCTTTAGGTAAACAAAAGGCTAATTTGCATTTTATGTATTTTGTTCAAGACCCCATGATTTGGGGACACAGGTGCACAGCAGCTGATTTCTGCACCCCGTGCACATAAATAATAGCCTAGAGTGTCTGTCACAGAACATCGCTGTAATAAATTAAGTGTGGTTATATTAAATGATTGATTTAGAGCTTGCCTACAAGAGATAGGAAATTATGTTCACAGCTCACGTACTCCTGCAATTAGGTTGAAACTTACTTTAAAGGGGTCCTATTATGCTTTTTCACTTTTTTAATTTTAGTCAGATTCAAAATCAAGACTTTGTAAAAGAGCATAATAGGACCCCTTTAAGGCAAGACAGCTGATACACGTAGTAGCTCAGTCTCACCGCCGGGGGTCTGTGTGAGCTCAGAGGAGTGTCTAATAGGCATGACGTCATTAGGTATCCCGGAGTGCTGCAGCTTGTATAACAAGATCTAAGAACAATAGAGTAAACACACTTACACTGTGGCCCTGCCAGAAAGAGAGCACATGGCACAGCTGTGTATTGAAGCATTCACTGAGGAAAGTATCCAGGTCATTCCTACAGTGCGGTATGTTTTCATGTCCTCCTCTTTGTTATTGAGGTACAGGTTCATTTTACTGTACATTTACATTACATTTATGCATTTGGGAAACACTTTGTCCAAGAGGAATAAAAGCAATTCGACAAAGTGCAAACGATATTCGTAATATACAATGTAAGGTTTATTAGACAACTAGATTAGGTAGCAAGCTGTTTTATTTTATTTATTTATTTTTTATGGAAAGCACATTTGTTGATTTTCTTTTATCACAGTATCACAATTAAAAGCAAACTTAAAGTTTATGACATCATTCTTGATGAAATTGCAGTTTTTCATATTAGAAAAAATATATAATTTTACTAAGAATGGTGTCTTAAACTTTGCTTTTGCTTTTATTCCTTTATTACAACATGGGTATAAGGTGTATAAACTGAATATATTATTGATTAAAAAAAGGAAAAACAAAGAAATACACAAAATATTAATAAATTGCCATGTTAGAAGCTAGTGCCATTAAATAAAAATACACACTTAATTTATAACAAAATTTTGGGAGAAATGATACCCCCAAAATTAGATTATTGATGAGAGAAATGCAGAAAAATGTGTAATATTTCTTAATAAATTACCAGTATCTGGTTGGCAAACAACAGCACAAGCATCCATAGAAACATTGGCAAACAATTTGATTATATTTTGTGATGTTTGTGGTATTAATTGGTTTATAATATTCCATCCTGTTTGGAATGTTTTATCCATACAATTACAGAAATCAGTATTCAAAAGACATTTCAAAATGTATTACCATGCTTTAAATAATCAGTTCTAAAAGTCTGTTATACCCTTTTATGGAACTCTTCCTTAAATTACACAAGCATATACATTTTTTAAAGGTTTAAAATTGAGTTCCAATTGTACTGCATAACTGGAATTACCCATTTATGATATCAAAGCATACAGTAATTATCACTCATGATTGTTAGATGTCGACACTCTCATTTGTCAGGGGTGACTCATCACACTGCTGCATTTGAGGTTGCTGCATTATTTGTTTGATTTGTTTGATGACTCAGGGTCATCTAATTGAGGCTTTTAGAGAATAAACATTATAACAACCCTCTAAGTAATAAAGTAAGAATCTATGTAACGACAAAGACCATTAGTATTCCCTGCAGGGAGGAATGCAAGAGTAAGGTTTCTATCGATAGCAGTGTTTCCTGCCACAGCGTGGGCAGAGACCACACTCAACCATGCTGTAGTACAAAAGGCCTTCCTCTATTCTGATTAATTATATTCCTTCAGGAATGTGGACACTGGGTTCCTCCAGCACAGCTACCATCACCAGCCACTGTACGTCTAATTAAAAGTGGAGGAGAGCTCTGTGAACCTCTGCCAGCGCTGAGGATTAAGTCTATTTAAAGAGGGAATTCAATAGAATGCCGTACCTTGCTGCTTATCCGAGAGGAAAGTGATGAAGAAGATGTGCTTTGTGTAAATTTGCACTCAGCTTAGTGGCTTTTCTTTCTTATTGAGCACTATATTGTCTGGACTTTGACCCCTTTGGTACTGGTTGAGATTTTGGGTTGTGTCATATGCAGAGGGCAACAGGTGCAGAGCCCAGTTTCAAAATGACCTTTTAGGTGTTTGCACACTTGCTGACTTCAGAGTTGCATGCTGTTTGTGAAGAGATCAAAAGAAAAACTCTGATAGGGGTTATATCTGCCACATACACACTGTAAAGTTTCAGGAGTGAATCCCCTAAATTACAGTTTTGTGTGTGTACGGAACAGAACTCACTCTAGTAATGACGATGATTGACACCATGGTAACCATAGCGACATTTTGTTGTTGTTATTGTTGTATTGTGTTGTTGTTATTGTATTCTGGATGGTTGCTAGGGCATTGTTTGGTGGTTGCCAGAGTTTTTATGGGATGGTTTCTAGAACACTGCTAGGTGGTTGCTAGGGTGTTTGGGTGGTTTCCAGGGTACTCTGGGTGGCGGCTGGGGCATTGCTATGTGGTTGCTAATTTGTTTGGGTGATTGCTAGGATATTGCTAGGTGGTTGCTAGGATGTTTTAGGGATGATTGCTTGGGTAGGACATTATGCAGTTGCTAGGGTATTCTGGGTGGTTGCTAGGACATTGCTAGGGTGTATTGGGTGGTTGCTAAGAATTTGCCAGTTTGTTTCCAGGGCATTTATAGGTGGTTTCTAGGGTGTTTTGAGTTTTTTTCATTTTTTATTGTCTGACAGTGAAAAATTATAAGTGA